CTACATAACCATACTTCTTTCAGGACTTAGAATGTGCTCAATAATTGTTTCATTAAATAGGTTTCACTAAATAGGTTCTCAATGCCTTTTTCCTTCTCCCTTAGGTATTTCTATATGATGAATATTTGTTCCCTTAATGGTATTGCATATACCTTATATGCTCTCTTTATTCTTTTTTATCCTTTTCTCGATATTTTTGAATGGATTATTTCAAAAGTGCTGTGTTCACAATCATAATTTCCTTCTTCTGCTTGATATATTCTGAAGTTTTTAGTCCCCAAATTTCTCATTGATTCTTTTTATTGATTTCCATCTCCTTGTTAGATTCCCATTCATATGACCCATCGTTTTCCTAATTTCATTTAATTTTCTATCTGTATTCTCTTGGTGTCTCATTGATCTCCCATACGATTATTATTCTGAATTCTTTTTAAGGCATTTCGTAGATTTCCTTCAAATCAGGATCTATTTCTTGAGAAATGCTGTGTTCTTTTGGAAATGTCCTGCTTCCTTGCTTCTGCATGTTTCCTGTGTCCCTAAGTTTATATCTGAACATTTGACATAACAATTCCTTCTTCTTCATGAAGTAGCTTTCACTAGAAAAGACTTTTATGTTTGTATGGAATGTGAAGTTTCAGTTGGGTAGTTCTTTGGTTTTGGTTCTAGGTGAACCCAGATGTGTAAGTACTGAGTGATTTTATCAGCTGTAGTCAATGTCAGTAGTGTCTGTGAGTGCCCAAGTTGTCAGATTTGCAGCAGCCCATGGAGGTAGTAGTGTGACTATGAAGTGAATGTGTGCGTCTTCAGGCCCTAGAGTATTGAACATCAGGCACCCTATATTTGTGATGTCAGTAGTCAGACTTCTGGTGCTATGGGACACAGAGTGGGCTGTCTCTCTTTTCCCACCAAACAATCCTGAGTGATGCTGTGGCTTGTGGCATGAATAGCTGCAATTCCATAATTTTTTGATATGTGTGGGATCTTCTGCATGTCCTGCTGGATGGGCTAAGGTGATGCTGGCACTAACAACACCAAAATCCCCAGTCCTAGCAATAGGGGTTAATTGGAATTTTTCCCAGATTCCATTGGGTGGATACAAATTATGTTGATGCTCGTGCACTGGCAGATGTGGATTTGAACCAGAGAAATGAATGTATGATCTTCCATCACATGATTCTAAAGAATACTGTGCTAACAGTTATAGTTCCTGAGCTGCAGAGCAGATAGGATACCTTGCCTAGATCTCACAGGGAAATACGATATGCTGGGGATTGTGAACAGGAAACTCTTAACATACAGCAATGGAACTGAGACAGAGCCTTACCTACGTCCCAGAGGGCAATTACAGGTGTTTTGGGGACTTACAGGTCCAACGGTCACAGTTCCAGAGCTTCAGGATGCACTGTGGCTCTTATCTAGGTTCCCTTTTTCACACAAAGATTATGCTGTGGTTTGTGCTGGGGATTGGCAGGGATGGATATGGAGCAGTGGAATGTGAACATTCTCCCCACACACAAGAAGTGAACACAGTTGAACATGTAGTATGTAGTTCCAACATTCCCGGTCCTATAGCGGCAGGACTCAGGGAATACCTACCCTACATTCTTCAGATTGATCTCAGGTTATGCTGAATATTGTGTACTAGTAGGGGAAATCCTGGATCAGTGGGATGTAGTTCTTACCCAGAGGTGAGTACAGGTATCTTTGGGATTTATGGAACAGTCACAGACTTAGAACTGCAGAATGCAGTGGATTCCTTATCCAGGTCCTTTGGAATGAAATCATGAAAGTCACCTTTGAGTGACTCTGGAATATTATTCCAATATCCCCAATCTCAGAGAAACAGGACCCAGAGTGTTCCTTACCATGGTCCTACATGATGACCACAAGTTACAGTGAGTATTGTGCAGTAGCAAGTTCAAGCCTGCAGCAGAGGAATGCAGGTTATTTTGGGTATTGTGGACTGGCAGGCATCAGCCTGAGTCAGAATAATGCAGACAGGGCCCTTCAAATCCCACTGATGAGTGTGATAACTCCAGGAATTATAGCAACTAAAGCCCTATTACCAGAGCTGCAAGACACAGAATGGACTTTCCCCAGTTCCCAGTGCATGTAAAGGTGACCCTGGGGCTTGTGTCCTGGCCACCCCATACCCCGTGCTTAGAGATACAAAAGAGGATTTCCCCAGGTTTGATCCTCTGGGTTTGTGTAATGACTGCTGCTGGTGTTGATCACGCAGAACAAGGAAACATGGTACTAGAACTTGTGCCCAGCAACCACACAGCTGCAGATTACAGAGGAGCCTGGTCTCTCCCCTGTGAACATCCTGGCTCTGGGCTGGGGGTGGGGGAACTTCTGGCATTGATGGGGCTGCCTGCTTTCCCCCAATGCAGAATGGAATTTAGTAATGGCAGTACTGTAGCAACTCTGGTGTGACTGTTGGGGTTGGGGACCAGGCAATAGGCGTTCGTTTTTGGATCAAAGCAGCTGCTCAGACTCCAGTCAGCTTTCTGGACTGTATTTGAAGCCATTTAGGACTATGGAATGTTAGGACTGCCAGTCTGTGGTGCTGGTGGGAGTCATGGAGCTTTCTGCTTACCCCTTCCCTGCACAATTGAGTCCTCTTGACAGAGTAGGAACCATGGTGTGCTTTGTAATTCTCTGTACTGGCTTTTTGAATCTCTGTGTTGTTTCTGGTTCCATAATTTTTACTGAAGTTTACCTTCAATTTTCTGAAAACACTGTCCTTCCTTTGTAGTTCAGATTTTTTTCTGTGGGAGAGGCAAGTCTAGAGCTTTTCTGTTCAGCCATATTGTGTCTTATTTATATTATCTTTGATCACTCACATTTTTAAATTTTCGGAAATACTAAACATATATCTATTGTAAGACACTATTTTGTTTCATTTCATGTCGATCTTTCCAATTAAGTTAATTTATTGAGAGCAAGAGCTGTATTTTATTCATCTCCATAGCAACCAGAAAAGAATTTGGATTACTGGTAGATTTTTGTTGCATTGAACTACTGATGTCTTTAACCAAAAGAGATGACAGTGACTCTTCGAATAAAGAAATGAGTAAAGAATATTGCTAGGTGGGGCTGGCGCTGTGGTGCAGCAGGTTAAAGCCCTGACCTGAAGAGCGGCATCCCACGTGGGCACCAGTTCTAGTCCCAGCTGCTCCTCTTCCAATCCAGCTCTTTGCTATGGCCTGGGATAGCAGTAGAGGATGGCCCAAGTCTTTGGGCCCATGCACCCGCGTGGAAGACCTGGTAGAAACTCCTGGCTTCTGGCTTCGGATTGGCGCAGCTCCGGCCATTGACGCCATTTGGGGAGTGAACCAGCAGAAGGAAGACCTTTCTCTCTGTCTCTCCCTCTCACTGTCTGTAACTCTACCTCTCAAATAAATAAATAAAATCTTTAAAAAATAATATTGCTAGGAAATCCATAAAATCAAAGATTCCTTATTTTTAGCATTTGTAGTGGAAATCTGTTTTCTGGAAGCCCTGGGAACAGTCTCTTCCGTTGGCCCTGATAGTTGTTTTTGCCTCATTCTCTCTCACACTATTTCCATCTTTCTAGTTCTCTCCCAATGTTACCCTGAAAGACCACATCTTTGGAGCAGGCAACTTCCCACATCACCACACAAAGCTAGTATTAGTTCTAAATGACTTTGGAGTTTAAAGCTTTCCCAGCACCCTTCATTCTCTTTTACTTCTTAGGAAAAATACAAAATGGAAAACCTAGGGGCCAGTGCTGTGGCTCAGTGGGTTAACACCCTGGCCTGAAGAGCCAGCATTCCATATGGGCGCCGGTTCAAGAGCCAGTTGCTCCACTTCCGATCTAGCTCTCTGCTGTGGCCTGGGAAAGCAGTAGAAGATGGCCCAAGTCCTTGGGCTCCTGCACCCAGGTGGGAGACTGGAAGAAGCTCCTGGCTCCTGGCTTCAGATTGGCGCAGCTCCGGCCATTGCGGCCAATTGGGGAGTGAACCATAGGATGGAAGACCTCTTTCTTTGTCTTGCTCTTGCTCTCTTCACGTGCTCTCTCTCTGTCTCTCTCCGTTGTGGCCAATTGGGGAGTGAACCATAGGATGGAAGACCTCTTTCTCTGTCTCGCTCTCGCTCTCTCTCTCTCTGCCTCTCCTCTCTCTCTGTAACTCTGACTTTCAAATAAATTAATAAATCTTTAAAAAAAATGGAAAACCTAGCCAACTGCAAGTGGATTCCACAAACTGTTGTCAGATCATTTGTAGGAAATATATAAAAGGAAAAGACTCTTCATGGAACCCCATTCAGGAACATGGTTGAATATAATCTCAAGAATGGGAAAGTGTTCATGTGCTTAAACAGAGAAATTATTATTGTGTTTATGATAGCTCCATTTCCTTTCTAGTCCCATGATACTATCCTGTGATTTAATGATCTATTCATGACATGCTGAAGAAACACATTTTGAGAACAAAGTAAACATAACAGCAATTGTTTCTGAAGTTTAAAATATTTTTACTAATAAAAAAGTACAATAATCAAACTGAACAAGATTGCTTATAGTACCCAAGCATACACCCTGCCCAAATGCCACAGTAGGAGTGGCCCATTGAACTAGAAGTGAGTAACCTCTAAGTGCCCATGCTAATTGAGGCAATTCTTGACTATCTCCAGTTGCATAACAGACTTGTGGGTGGGAGATTGTTCATGATCGCAGCCTCAAAGCCATGCCTCTGGAGCAAAAATTAGTACAAAATAGAGGAAAAATGAGGTGTTGCTCTAAAGCACTAAAATAATGAGGTACAAACATAAGAGCTACATAGACTAAAGCTTAATATAATGTTTTTATAATTTCATTAAACAAAGTAACAATGACAAAACCCCAACCAATCCCTTCATGGCAGGCTCCTTTCCCCAACACACACACACACACACACACACACAAAGAGAGTCAGTTTCTGGCACTACTCTCCTACTGTAACCTCCAGTTAAAAAACAGGGATAGACACCACCAGGGATTTTTTCCCTTTTTATTCAGGAATACAATCAAAACAGCACTGCGTATAACATAGTTATAAAGTAATGTCCAACATAACTGACCCTAGGAAACATATACTGGAAGGGAAGGAGAGCTTCTTAACAATTAGCAAAATAGCATCTCTTCTTCTGTCCCCCACAACCAGAAAAGGAAGTGGAAAGTGAAACCAGTGTTTGTAAAACAAAGAAAATTCCTGCCACTGGTATGAATTCCATCCACTTCCAGCACACTATCACCCCAGCCACCCTGCCCCACTTCTCCCCTACCTATACTTTCAGAGTACAGTAAGGAAAGAGAAAATGTAACTGGTGAAACTGAACTTGCCAAAGCCTGAATGGCTTTGGGAAATTGCCTTTGTGCTTCTGATAGGGTGACATGTAATGTGGTCCTGGCAGAGTGAGAAATGGGTAAATTATAGCTTTTGAAGCAATGGATTTTGCCCACCCATTCTTTAGATCCTAACAATGTTTTGAGTCTGGAAATACGTGATAATCTTATAGTTAGTAACAGAGAGAATGTAAAGAAAGTGAGCATAAGAAATACTATTGCTTCCAGTGGCCACTTTCAATTACCCCTCTGACTGACTCAAGTTTAACTCTTTATCATCTAGGAAGCCTAATTCCCTAATTTTCATATGGTAAATATAGGTTAGTATAATTTTCATCATAGTAATGGATATAATACTTTGTTGTTCATTTAAAGATCTCTTATCACTTTTGCCAACATCCATGAACAAGAAGCCTCACAACATTCCTGTGAGGTAGATATTTGGATCCCCATTTGGCAGATGGGTTAACTGAGGCACAGAGAGGTGATGTGACTTGCCTAAGGTCAACTAAGTAAAAGAGTGAGGGGAAATGCAGGAGAGAAGTAACTCAGAGTAGCAGTCCTATTGTCAGAGAACCATATTTAGCAGTGAGAAAAGATAGTGCTAAGTATTTCTTTAAATTGGACCCACCTGGTTTCCTCTGTGTCCATTCCTCTAGGGAACAGCATACTGTAGAGTATCAATAAGTTCCCTTAAACTGAAAGGTTAGGTCAATTCCAAAGGTTTAGTTAGTCTGAGAACATCTGGGGGGTAGAACAGACTCCCAAATAACACAAATCTCCAATTCTAGAATTTTGAAAAACATTTTGTTTCAAAGATCTGTAAGAATTTTAAAAAATTACTATCATGTACATAAGCACTGTGTTCTAGTTGATAAAGTTTCTCCCTATGAGTGTACAGATTAACAATTTAGATGCTGCAATATATGTATATACTGGAATTGAACAATTAAATTAATAGATGGCAGAGGGTGGGGCCCAGGTTCGTCACTATTGGAGAGAGAGGCTACAGATAAGAGGAAAATGCTACAATAAGTCATCCAGTAATGATTTAAGAGTGCAATACATCAACATGAACTCATGTTTAGCTAAAGATATGGATTATTACATGTAGGAATATCTAAAGATACGTGTATATGCGTAGGTTACTATATACACATATATTTTCTTTCTCTGTCAGCTGAGAAGGCCTAGAAGAAACTATACCCCAGTAGCAGCAAGCATACAACATTCCCAGATTTCAGTTTCTAATACCATTCTCTAATACATGGAACCAGGACTCCTCGGAGAAATGGCTGATTATAGGAATGAACCAAAAAGTGTATAGGATGAGCCTGGAACACCTTGCAGTGCCAAAAAGTAAAGACATGCTTAAAATAATAAATGGGGTATATCAAAATGACTTGACAGTCAATGCAAAAGAGTTCTGTATGGCCAAAGCTGGAACAATTTGAAAAATCAAATAAATAAAATAGTATTGGGTTGTAGCACAAAGTATAAAATAAATATCCATGAGTCCATGCTGATATAAATGACTGCTTAAATAAATAGAGAGAGTGAAAATTCTCCTGTGCAGGCAGAATAATTTCAAATAATTCATGTAGATACTTGCTCTCATGAATGTGGTACATAACTCACCACCTCTTGAGCATGAGCTGTACATAGTGACTTCCTTCCTAAGAGTACAGTATTAAAAAGAGGAAAAAGAATATAAGAGAAAAACCTGATAAAAACTATCTCAACCAGGTGATCAAGGTTAACATCAAGAGTGATAAGTCATCTAAATAAGTGATAAGTCATGAAAATGGCACCTCACCTCTGTGGTCTTCCTCCTAAAAACCCATAACCCCAGTCTATCATAGAAAAAACATCAGATAAATCTCAACTGAGAGACATATTACTCAAGGCTGTCAAGGTAATTGAAAATAAGGAAAGCCTGAGAAACTGTCATAACCAAGAGGAACCTAAGGAGATATGACCAATATATGTAAATGCAGTATTCAGAATGGGATGTTGGAACAAAAAAAATATATATAAAGTAAAACTAAAAAAAATTTGAACAAGCTATGGACTTCAGTTAGTATTAATGTATCGTTATTGCTTCATTAATTGTAACAAATGTACCACAGTAGTGGTAAAAATGAGAGGAAACCAGATGTGAGGTACATGGGGACTCTACACTATCATTGCATTTTTTCTATAAATGCGAAACTACTCCACAATGAAAAGTTTATTAAAAAAGAAGTCACTATCACAAATCTTTCTGTTTTTTCCATAATGAACTCCACCTAATTTGCCCAAATGATTCACATTATTCATAGTTTTTCTTAGAGCATACATCATAATTATCAAGTTATGCTCAACTGCAAATCATCTACAGATGGAGGAATTCCACTGCAACAAATCCAATGATCTTATCCAATCCTACCAAACAAAACCATTCATGTCATAGGCAACTGTCCATGCTAACAGTTTTCTGCAAGCATAAACAAAGCAAACTCAAACCCTAAATATTGTCCAGGAGAGACACATTTTTGTTACTTTCCTCTTAATTGTCATTTAGGAAAGTTTTATGTGCTTTTGGTGAATTAACTTTGTACTGTATTGTTTTTGAATCCCTATATGTTTATGAAATTCCTTTAATGAATCTTAGAACACTTCTTAAAGCATAGATAAGTAATTGAAAGATTTTATTATTTGAGAACCAGGTTAAAATTGATTCTTGAGTATGGACAATTAACAAACTATTTAAAATTCTTTCATTCCCTTATATAAAATTCTTTTAATAAAGATGCAGGGATATCAGGAACACCAATGTTTGAGATCATAATTTGATCATCCCAATTAGTACAAGTATTTTTGACAGTATTTATAAATAGATGATATGTCTCAACGCAAAAGATCCTGCAGTCTAACAGGCACAAATAAGTTCTGAACTCTGGACAAGAGGTCATGGGATCCAAACTGTGGAGAAAAATAGGTAAGCCCTTGGGCTCTACTGTGAAACACTGTACCAACTACTTAATTATAAGCTTAAATTTACATATGATAGAAATTCACCTTTATTAATATGTCTTGCAGCTATACAGAGGTCCCTCTTTAATAGACTGGCCTAAATAATTCCCAGTGCTTTAGTAATCATTATATAGTTTAGAACTCACGCACCAAATGTCAGGAATAGGCTCATATCAAAATAACAATGATAGTAGTAAAAACTCACATGTTGTTTTGAAAATACAGATACTTCTTAAATTTATGGAGCAACAAGGATCTGGAAAGACACTGTAAATTGAAGGGATGATAAATAAAACAGATATTATAGAAGTGTTAGAATAGAAGAACCATATGCCTGATGTTATATGGCAATGATCACAATCACATTTCACTTACTTACTATTTAATCAACTATTAATGATTTTTGAGTCATCTAAAGTTTTCTGAAGTGTAACATACAAAATTGGACAACTATCATAACCAATAACATAAATTTTCTTTAATTTGGTTTAATAATGTGACCTCTGGAAGAATGAGTATGCAGATGTATAAGGCCTTAAGGAAATATCTGAAGGGAGAATCTGACCCGTATTTGTTTCACCTGTAACATATGAGGAATGGGTAGACTATCAGCTAACAGGATCCCTTCTTGGTGCTAGAGTTCTATGAATTAGTCAGTGTAGAGAGCCTCAGGAGGTAGTGACCTAAAGTTTTCAAGCAGGGACTGGTTGAGTATCTACCAAGGGAAAAGGGTTCAATATGAAGATAACTGTTAGGAGAGAGGATGAATCCAAATCCAAGTGATGCAAAGCTCCCTCCTCCAACCCAGAAGAGGAAATATGCAGTGTGGAGGTAGATTTGAAGTCCAAGGCCAGAAAAAGAGGGTTTTATGACCCAGAGCATATTCTTAAACAGTCTGACTGGGTGATAAAATATGTGTACATATCTGTAATAATGCACAAAAGAAATGGCTTAGTTCTTCATAGCAATTACAAAACATCAAATTATTTTTTTTGGATGTCAGTTTTCACAAAAAGCCATATTCCATTTAAAACATAGGAATGATTATCAGTAATGCCATAGAGTGAAGAAAAATTTCTGTCTTCCAATCTCTCCCCTCTGTATAATATGGCCCCAGTGTAAAATTTCTCATCATGCAATACACTCAACAGTTGCTTATGTAAACAAAAGAATAAACAGTACAGTGCAACCCCTTAAGACACTGCTTCAATAGGATACCGTTTGAATGAGGTTTATAATTAACAGCACTTTTGATGTCTTATCCAAATGAAAGTTCACTCGATATGTTTTAGGATTGTCCCAAGTCTATTTGTTCTTGTCACTGCCTGATATACTCTTCTGGAACACTTTGCTCCCCACTGACAGGTCTATGTGTGCTTTGAATATTTGCCCAATTTAACTTAACAAAGAATGCAATTGTGCAGCAGAATCCTTAATCCTGAAGGAGAAAGAAGAGGAAGAGAAGAGAAAAGGACAGGATAATCTTTTCATTCCCTTTGAATGAAGCAGAAGCACCAGCACTGTCTGAAAATCAAACTGCCAGAAGAAACAAGATTGGATTTACAAAACATTTGAGTTTGATATGGGACTCAGCTTATACACTGAGAATGTGCCCCATACTCAGGCCCCAAATCCTTATAAATCTTAGCAATCAACTACATTGTTTTGCCCCTTCTATCTAGGAATTTGGGGAAAAAGTCATTTTAGGACACTACCAATTACCCTTAAGTATTGACTAAAAAAATATATGTATGGATAAGAGTTCTAGAAAACAAGGAGAAAAAATAGGAGGGGAAAGCAGCGTATGTTTGTTCACAGCCTTAAGTTTGATTCCTGTTTAGTTATCGTAGGAAAATGTCTTATTTCAGAGCAAAGGGAAGGGGGCAGCCATGGGTGCCGCTCTGGAATTCAACCCATGTGGAGGTTGAAAAAACTGGGGTCTGGACAATGGAGAGGTAAAGGTGGAATATGAAGAGGCCCATGAGAGAATAGCTATCTTTTCCTCCAGTCTTCTCAACCTGTCTCAAGGAGCTGTTCAAACCCCATCCAAGAGGCAGGTTGAAGTCAGAGGGAAAAAAATGGTCTTGATCTCAGCACAAATACAGGAAAGAGATCAGTGCAGTTCCTCTAGTGCAGCTTGTGACTCTCACATTGTGTCGTGGCGCCGGCGGTGCAGGGACAGGTGGTCAGAGCGAGAAAAACTGCGGTTGCAGTCTGTGCACCGGAAAGGCTTGATGCCTGTGTGCTTGCGGAAATGGCGGGTGAGCTCATCTGAACGAGCAAATTTCCAGGAGCAGCCATCCCAGGTGCATTTATAAGGCTTTTCTCCTGAAATGAAACATGACAAAACAAAGGGAATCAGAGAGGAAATGCTTGATTACTAGAATGACAAAAGGATACCTAAATTTTATCACATGATTAGCAAAAAGGTGAGAATATTATTTTTAAGACATACTTTCATTCACCTGTAAAATTAATTAGTTTATTCATAAATAAAAATTGTATTTATTTGTTGTAAACAATATGTTTTGAAATATATACACACGGAGGATTGGCTAAATTGAACGTACACATGCATTCCCTCACATATGTATTAATTTTTGTGGTAAGAACACTTCAAATCTACTTTTTTGGTAATTTTCAAAAATATAACACAGTGTTATTTACAGTAGTCCTAAAGAGAGTCCAACATAACAGAGTGGAAAGCACATAGGCATTGGCTCAAACAGGCTTTCATTTGAATCCTGATTCTAACACAAATACTTTTTCCTGGCTGGGTCTCTGTTTCCTCATAAAAATATATCACAGGGATGATCAAAATATTTTCTTTTTTAACAGCTAGTATGCAATAAAACTGGAATCCAACCTAAGGACTTTCGATGCTTTCCACTATACTAAAGTATATCATAGTCTCTCTTCTAATATTTCCCACCAAATATTCTAAAATAAGAACCATATACATAGGAAAACCATGTGATTTAACAGAAAGGAACTTCAGCTAAGGCTACCAGCCTTTTTCTGTGTAAGGTCAGAAATATAAAGAACATAGAATGGTATGGGGACAACTGTTGGGTCAAACTTTTTGAAATAACTCCATACTCAGAATCTTCAGATTGTATCTGAATTATATATGGGATATGTATGCTCAGGATAGAAAGTAAACAGAAAAGGAAGCATAAAAATTAACACAGCATGACCCACTATATTGTACAAATTACACACCACTGAATGCAAGCAATATTAATTATTATATGCTTAAATGTAAATTATGAGACAAATTATTAACAGTGATGAGACATGGTGAGAAGATGATTTTTCCTTTTTTACTTTACATCCTTTTGTATAACTCTGAATACTCATGGTTTATATGTAATAAAAATTTTAAAATAAAAAGGAGGCCAGCACCACGGCTCACTTGGCTAATCCTCCACCTACAGCACCGGAACCCTGGGTTCAAGTCCCAGTTGGGGCACCAGATTCTGTCCCGGTTGCTCCTCTTCCAGTCCAGCTCTCTGCTATGGCCTGGGAGGGCAGTGGAGGATGGCTCAAGTGCTTGGGCCCTGCACCCACGTGGAAGACCAGGAGAAGCACCTGGCTCCTGGCTTCGGATCAAAGCAGCGCATCGGCCGTGGCGGCCATTTGGGGGGTGAACCAACGGAAAAGGAAGTCCTTTCTATGTGTGTGTCTCTCTCTCACTGTCTAACTCTGCCTGTCAAAAAAATAAAATAAAATAAAATAATAAAGAGGAAAACAACTATATGAATGAAAATAAATATACAATGTGGTTACATATGTGTTGTAGGATTAGGTAATGTTTGCTTTCTTAATATATTTATCTATTTCCCATCTCATATAAAAAGCATTTACTCGTCCTGCGCCGCGGCTCACTAGGCTAATCCTCCGCCTTGCGGCGCCGGAACACCGGGTTCTAGTCCCGGTCGGGGCACCGGATTCTGTCCCAGTTGCCTCTCTTCCAGGCCAGCTCTCTGCTGTGGCCAGGGAGTGCAGTGGAGGATGGCCCAAGTCCTTGGGCCCTGCACCCCATGGGAGACCAGGATAAGTATTGGATCAGCGCGGTGTGCCGGCCACGGCGCGCTGGCCGCGGCGGCCATTGGAGGGTGAACCAACGGCAAAGGAAGACCTTTCTCTCTGTCTCTCTCTCTCTAACTGTCCACTCTGCCTGTCAAAAAAAAAAAAAAAAAGCATTTACTCTATGAGAAACAGTGACTTGATCAGCCCTTGCCCTGACTGTTGATGAACAACTTAATACGTTATCCCTCTTAGTATTTTTTTTGTTTGTTCTACTTAATACTTTTGGTTGAATACTGTAATCAATACACAGTTATTCTCAAGTGTTGAAACTTAACTGAAAAGTGATCGCTGTTAAATATAAGAGTGGGAATAAGAGAGGGAAGAGATGTGCAATTCGGGACATGCTCAAGCTGACTTACCTCAAACGGTAGAGTTAGAAACATACCAGGGGATCCCAATTCAATCCCATCAAGGTGGCATGTACCAATGCCATCTCACTAGTCCTGGTGATCAATTTCTGTTCACAATTGACCATAATGATAGGACTAAGAGCCAAAGGGAGCACACAAACAAGACTAGTGTCTGCTAATACTAGCTGATAGAATAAAAAAGGGAGAGAATGATCCAACATGGGAAGCGAGATACACAGCAGACCCATAGAATGGCAGATGTCCTAAACAGCACTCGGGCCTCAGAATCAGCCCTTAAGGCACACGGATCTGGCTGAAAAGCCCATGAGAGTATTACAGGCATGGAAAGCCAAAACACTCTGGCAAAAAAAAAAAAAACTAAATGAGAGATCTCTGCGAGTGAGATCCCAGTGGAAAGAACAGGTCATCAAAGAAGGAGGTACCTTTCTCTCAAGGGAGGAGAGAACTTCCACTTTGACTACGACCTTGTCTAAATATGATCAGAGTCAGCGAACTCAAAAGGCTTCCATAGCCTTGGCAACTCATGACAAGAGCCTAGGGTCATTACTGATGCCATAAACAAGAGTGTCAATTTGTTAAGTCAACAACAGGAGTCACTGTGTACTTACTCCTTATGTAGGATCTCTGTCCTTAATGTGCTGTACATTGTGATTTAATGCTATAACTAGTACTCAAACAGTATTTTTCACTTTGTGTTTCTGTGTGGGTGCATACTGATGAAATCTTTACTTAATATATGCTAAACTGATCTTCTGTATATAAAGAGAATTGAAAATGAATCTTGATGTGAATGGAAGGGGGGAGGAAGAGGGAAAGGGGAGGGTTGCAGGTTGGAGGGAAGTTATGGGGGGGGAGCCATTGTAATCCATAAGCTGTACTTTGGAAATTTATATTCCTTAAATAAAAGTTTTAAAAAAAGCATTTACTATTTTGTAATCAGAAATGAGCAATAATTCACACACAAAATTAATTAGTATTTTCATGGTCTTTCTTCCCCGGCTCTTTTTTTCTTTTTATACTTGTAAATCCTCCAGAGCATTTAAGTTTATACTGCTCTAAATTCTGGTGGCAATATGGATTGCACATACTGTTTTTCAACTTATTGCTCACCCCCTACTAACCTTCTTAAGTGTTTGCTAATTAACTGTATAGCTTTCAAATAATGGGCAACAGAATAAAATCCAGCCTGACTCACAGCTTTGGACCATACCCAGGCAGCAATTTTGATAATTAAAGATGTCAATTGTTTATTATGTCAATATTGAGAAATTGCTGCATTAGCTGGTAATAAGATCGAAGTCAGCGAACTCAAAAGGCTTCCATAGCCTTGGCAACTCATGACTAGAGCCTAGGGAGATTTCTGATGCCATAAACAAGAGTGTCAATTTGTTAAGTCAACAACAGGAGTCACTGTGTACTTAACTTCTCATGTGGGATCTGTCCTTAATGTGTTGTCCAATGTGAAGTAATGCTATAACTAGTACTGAAACAGTATTTCACACTTTGTGTTTCTGTGTGGGTGCAAGCTGATTAAATGTTTACTTAATATATACTGAATCAATCTTCTGTATATAAAGATAATTGAAAATGAATCTTGATGTGAATGGAATGGGAGAGGGAGTGGGAGATGGGAGGAGTGCGAGTGGGAGGGAAATTATGGGTGGGGGAAGCCATTGTACTCCATAAACTGTACTTTGGAAATTTATATTTACTAAATAAAAAAAGAAATAAAAAAGAAAAAAGTAACACCAACAAAAAAAAGTTATAAAGTCAGAAAAAATGATGAATAAAAATATTGTAAGTCAGTGGTTGATTACTGGGAAAAAAAAAAAAGGAATGACATAGGGCTGAATGTCTTGAGGCCAAAAGAAGGTCAGTGAAATATTATCAGGTGAAAAGATAAAGCTATCAAATGATTATCAACACGCACACACACATACACACGCACACATCAGACAAAGGAAAGATCTAAAAGGCTTCATAGAAAATTATTAACAGTGGGGAGGAGAATGAAATTTTAGAGGGTGATGAGAATGTGTGAATGCGATTTTCAGCTTTTGTTCTACATAATTTTATATCATATCCACACTTCTCAACTGCTACATTGCTGTCTATATATTTTGTTGCGATCTCTCCAGAATTTCTCCTGAGAATTTCGACCTTCCATATACCCAAATGAAGAAAATTTGTCTTATAAAGTAGTGACACCTTGTGGTGGTTGGGGCTCATTGCTAGAACACTCAAACTGAACAGCAATTCAGCAAGGGGGTCTATTTTCATTTTCAAAAGCAATTATCTTTAATCATCATTGAACAAACTACAGTTTGTGCCAACTTCATATGATACAACTTATGACCTCTATCAACTTATTGTCTAAATTGAAAAATAAGACATACACAGAAAAAAAAGAATTTGTAATATAAACATGAACTATGTGACAATGATAGTATGGGAAATGTAAGTTCCAAGGCTACATAACACTCTCACAGATAAAGTGAAAACACTGATATGGAGGTATGGGTAGGTTTTAGATGAGTAGAAGACAGAAAGCAACTCATTCAGTTGGGTGCAAGGTATGGTAAGACATAGGATTAGCTATCCTGGAGGATGGAGCATCTGTACAGGAGTACTACGAGATGATCTCAATTATAAAAGCTAGGCCAAAATAATCGGATTTAATAAAAGGGAAGGTGGGGAAGGAGCAGTGTGAACTAGGTGCAAGCCATGAGGATGGATTGACAATATATAAACTTTAAATAATAATAAAATAGACTAAAGTTAGTAGTTCTTGTTATCACCACATGCCAATTTTGAACTTTTTCAATGATAAAATACTCTTCATTGCCAGGACACACAGCTCCCAAA